ACGCTTTACCATTTATGTATAGGATCGATATTTCACCACATTTATGCTTTATTTAGGCTGATGGCCACCCTTCCCCAGCCTGGCTCTGTGGGAGGTTTCTTCCTGTTAAAAGGGAGTTTTTCCTTCCCACTGTCGCCAAAGTGCTTGCTCGTAGGGGTCATATGATTGATTTCTGTATGTATTATTGTACCTCATAATGTAGACCTTACAATATAAAGTGTCTGGAGGCTACTGTTGTTGTGATATATAAATAAAAATTGAATTAAATTATTCAATATTATGTATAAGTACATACATGTTGTAGCTTGATAATGTTTTTTAAAATCTCAGTGGAATGGTGACAGTTTTAATGTATATCTTTACTGACATGAACTCTCCACACTAAGACACAAAACTGTAATATCAGTGTTTGTTTTTTTTTGTTGCACATTCAGTGCCACTAGAGGGCGCCTAATCACTGTGCAACACAAGCGAGTCCGAGGTGTAATTTTTGACAGTTTCACTTTAAAAAAAAAAAGTATTTTTATATATAAGGGGTAATATATTTGTCTTAGTATTTTATATGTCTGTCTTGTAAAGTGGAACAGAGAAATGATGGGTAACTGAGGGGCAAAAACAATATGGTCATCATTTCTTTCTGATATAAGGACATCAGGACATCATGCAGTAATGCCTTGAAAGGTTACTTTTAACCTGAAAAGCACAACTTTTAATAGTAAAAAAAACTCTTCTAAAAGTAGAGTATACACCATAGCAGAAACTATGAACACACAACAAGCCTTTAACAAGACAAGCTGGAACCACACAGGAAACACACCTTGAGGGAGAAAATGACAAAGAACAAAGGAGGACTCAGACATTGTTTACATACTAGGAAATCAGGGAGATGCAAAACACCAGGGAACACAGCTGAATGGAATCAGACTAACGGGCTGGGAAGTGGGAAGCAAAACTGAATAAAAAACACTCTTGATACGTGGACTATCAAAATTAATCATGAGGCAACAAACACTGAGAACAGGATTAAGATGTGAACCATAAAAAAGCCAGAATGTCAACAATACAGAACTGTAATACAGATAAATAAATTAAAAACCTGCAAAACACCCCAAAACTCAAAACTCTAGGATCATGAGGAAATAATTTTTTTTTATTTTATTTCATTAGCAGAAGACAAACAATAATAACCAAATTGTTTGGAAAGAATAGCATTAAAATCAATTATTGAAGCAAACTAGTGATAAACTACCCTCACTGATAATTCACACATTACTCATATTATTCCTAAAATCTAAAACCACATTTTCTAAACAGTGCATGTATTTTTAATAATTGAACTCTTACTGGTTTCCCTGTTGTTTACACCCTTTTCTGTCTACTTCAGATACTCAACTCATCCAAAATGAGTCTTCAGGTTTGCCACTGTGGCTGGTCCAAAACGACAAGTTACCAGGGCCTCAGAGTTCACCAGGGAAAGATGGGATGTACACCAAAGGGAATGAGGATCCCTGAACATGAACAATTCAGTTACCTTCCTACAGTGACTATCCTGAGTCCTCAGATCAAATTAACAGACCCATTTATGGATATTTTCAAGAATTCTGTGAAGTCTGGTGAGTGCGCTGATTGTACTGCTGCCCTATAGTTACACTTTGTGCAGCTGCAGAGGATAAATTTATCACTTTGACAGTTCGTTACAGTGTATTCTCACATTGTTAAGGAATGATTTACTAAAAAATAAACAAAGAATATGCAGGAAGAGTTAAAATAATCGTTCCTTATAATGTGTCACACAAACACAACAGATTCAAACGCAAGCTACTACAGCTGGCCCAGAATCACAGTTGATCAGGACCTCGGAGATCTCCAGGGAGGGATGAGATCTACACAAAATCAACTGGAAGAGAACAAAGTTCAACTCTGGAGAAATCATCAAGAAGAATCTCATCAAAAGTGCAGCAGACCAACTTTCAGTCCTTCAGTCAAGGAGGAGGTATGGCTTTTTCACCGAAATATGAAAAATTACACTAGATTAGCATCGAACTGTATAATCACATCTGTTCTCTCCAGCAGAATATGTTTCTGCCATCAAGCTTCATCCCCCAAATCGATTCTCCAGCCAGACAAGCCTCTGCAGTAGAGATAATTAAATCATGTATGCATTTTAATTTAGTTAGTTCATAATGACAACACTCCAAAAAAGCAAGGTGGCTTAATTTAACCATTAATCCTCTTTTGTTACAGTGGTTGAAACTCAGCAACAGTCTGTGCCAACAGGTTCAAACATGGGCGCATATCAGGGGCTTGATTTAGGCTCTGGTGCACAGGTACACAGATTTTCTTTTCAAACATATCAAAGAAGTGTTAGGACAACTTGTCAAGTGACACCCACTGAATCTCCACTTCTACTTTCCTTTTACAGTCTGTGTTCATGTCTGTGTCACAGACCTTCAGCAACCACAGTGATCACACAGACAACACAACCACAAAGATGGAGACAGACACATGTACGCATTACGATCTTCACAGCTGATGATAGTTCAAGCTAGCTTTGCTTGGTAATAACTCTCTTGTTCCTCTGCAGTCTTTGAGACTCCTCAGCGCTCTCATCAAAGCACCGTGAGCTCAGACAAAGCCCGTCGAGCTCTGGACTTCTCTACTGGTGGACAGCAGGTACTGCAGATTTCTTAAGTACAGTTATTCAGATGCATGTAAAATATGGTTTTAGTATAAACGTGAAACAATTTTACTAAGAGTTAAACTGTATAAAGATTATTTTCATTACTTACTGCTTTCATATTTTAGGTGGTACAACTCTTGGAGCTTCCTGGGAAAGCAGCCCAGCACGCAGCAATCTGCCCCGAAGAAAAAGAAAAGGACATAGACAGGCTGAAAGAGAAGAAGACTAAAAAACTACAAAAGGTAATGCAGTTTTAATAGTTGTTAAAATAGTGGTTCTGAGTAACAATGTAATAATTAGTAGAATTTTCAATCAATAAAACTGAAGAACTTCTAAAAATGCTCCAGAAGGTGCCAACAGCACAAACACTGCTTGGAGGTCCAGTTCAGGCACTCATAGTAGTGGAAGTAAAGCCTCACAGAGTGTTACAGGCTACTGCTGCATGTGTTTGCCACCACACCTCTAGCTTTAAACCTCCCTAGTATCCACATTTAGTTAAACTGCAGAAATATCGCAAAGGCACAAAAAACCTGGATGGCCTCTAAATTTCTGCTTCTAAATTCACATAAAACTGAGGTTATTTTACTCGACCCTGAAAATCTTAGAAATATGATATCAAACCAGATTCTTACTCTGGATGGCATTACCTTGGCCTCCAGTAACACTGTGAGGACCTTAGAGTCATTTTTGACCAGGATGTGTCCTTCTATCATGAGACTTTTGACTCTGAGCCATTTTTCCTCTTTCAAGGCAAAACAGGAAAAGATGAAATCTGATTTGCAGCAGAAAATTCACATCAGAGAGCTCAAGATGGCTGAAGTCAGATCATCGGAAATAGACTGCAAGGTAAGGATGTTTATTTATTTTTCATTCGTTTGGTTTCTTGCTTTGATGTTACTTTAACACATCCACTCTCTTTTCAGGGTACTCTGGATGCCGAATGGTTGGAAGTCAATAATTTCTTCTCAGAGGCTATCAGAGTTGTGGAAGATGCTCGAAAGAAAGCCCTTAAGCCTCTGGAGGAGAGGTTAGTACTGTCAATTTATCAGTGGAGAGCAACTGAACATTGCCAGTGTGCTGTACATTTTACTCTCTTAAATACTGTTTAGGAGACAGAAAGTGAAAGGAGATGCTCAGGATATCATCCAGAAGCTGCAAAGAGAAATTGATGTGCTCAAAAAGGCCATTGCTGAAGCACCCAAAAACCCAGACTTGGAGGTGAGCTTTGAGGACCTGAAGTCCATCTTCTGGTCTTTTTAACATCTCAGCATAAAAGTGCATTTCTGCACTTTGGAAATTCTGTTTCGTTAAACTCATTAAATCTAATCTTGTCATATGCTGATGTTTACTGTGTGCACACACAGGTTTCGCCACTAACAGGCCTAAATGAATCTACTGACTGGAAAAATGTTGACACTTCACTCTCCTTTGGCACACTGAGAACTACGACTTCAGCCATGATGAAGCAAATTCACGACAAACTGGAAAAACTCTCATCCATTGGTGCGCCCATCATTTTGTTATACTTATATTAAAATCTGTATTTTCTGATTTATTGCCACTTACTAAAATGTTTGTTTCCACAGAACTCAGGAGGATTACAAAATTTGCAGGTGTGTATTTCAAAATGAAAACCTTATTTAAATGAAAAAATGTGATTGTTTTGCATTTTGATGTTTAATACAGATACATACTGATGAACAGCAGTAGGTCTTGTAATGGAAAATTAATAAGCTTTAAAAGTTGTGAAATTTTTAAAATAAAAACCAAAGCTTTATAGAAATTTAGCAGGATTCTCTCAAATTCCAAAATAAAAAAAGCCTTCAGCTCTTATTGTTTTCCAGAATTGAACTCGTCTTGTTATGGTTTAGTTGGATGCAGTCAAAATTAATATGTAGATTTCCAAAATAAAACATAATTTTCTAATGTACTCTTTCAAAGTTATTTAAGAAACAAATGGCAAAGATGAGTTTTAACATCGTCTGTAGCGATTACTTTCACTCATTATCTAGCTGATGGTGATGATTGGTCATCGGGCAGTGAGACAGTTTGTATGGCACAAGTCATATTTTTGTTATTTCAGTTTTTTTCCTATTTAAACACAAAGGCATAAAGTTTCTCCTCCTCAACTGTAACTGTGTCACTGTGGAAACAAATTGCCCCACAGTAATTTGTCTGCTTATATATTTCTAAAACTGCTCACTTAACTGCAATCACTTCCCCCCCTGAAAAAAGGGTCTATGGAAAAACATGAATAATTATTTTTAAGGATATGAACACGTTTAGCTCGGGCACATTTTATTACTCTCAAATTTTGTCACGTGAACGATATTTGACACCTCTTGGCGAGCAGCAAACTCAACAAAATGAATGCACTGTGATTCAGTACTGTAAGATTTCAGGAGTTATGTGAATAAAATATTGGAAAATTAGCACAGTTATTAGCTAAAAAATATTAATATATTGTTTATTTACCAATGAAAAAATTAAATAGTGAGTTAGCTAACATAAGTAAGTAGTGTTTACTTGTTATGATGACAAGACCTCAAGGGGTCAGCATGGCGAACACAATGCCCTGATGCTCTTTTGTTAGCCTAGCTGCTTGTCGATAGTGTGAAACCTCTCTTTATTGCTTTATCCGGAGGAAGATGTGAAAAAAAGTTCAGGGAACGGTTAAGGTATCATGCATGCTCATATCTCATCTCCTTAAGATTTCATATACAAATATTATTTCTTACTGAGGACAAACCTGTTGTTACTAATGTTTCCATAGCAATACTTACCACCATGTTTGGGTCAGCTTTGGCTGAAATGTTTAATAGAAAAAGTAAATAAAGTAAGGGGAGTCTTCTATTGTAGTTTATCCATTACTCTTGTGATGCTTCCACACTTCTACCCACCACACGGTTCTGTTTTTTTAATCACTTGTGTTCTTTTGACTGCAGTGGACGTGAAGCTGGACCCGGCGACCGCACACCAAAGCCTTGAAATTTCTGATAATGGGAAAAAAGTGAGAGATAGTGGAAAGATGTCGAAAGATCCTGATTCTCCACAGAGGTTTAATATGTTTGGAAGTATCCTGGGGCTCAACAGGCTGTCCTCTGGCAGGGCATACTGGGAGGTGGAGGTCAGCAAAAAGACCGGGTGGGATCTGGGTGTGGTGAGACGTGACGCAAACCGCAAGGGGAAACTCTCAATCAGTCCTGACAACGGTTACTGGGCTACTGTACATTATGAAGACCAGAAATATGCAGCCCTGACAACACCACCTGTGAGCCTTTCGGTTAAAGAGAAACCTCGGAAAGTCGGGGTGTTTGTAGATTATGAGGAAGGTCTCGTGTCCTTTTACGATGTGACATCTCAGTCTCACATCTACTCATTTACTGAGTGTTCGTTCGGTGGTGAGATCCTCCCGTACTTCAGTCCACATCTGAAACAAAATGAGAAAAACAGCAATCCTTTGATTATCACTGCTGTGCAAAAACAGTAGTAATCACATGCACTGGATCTGGTGCAGTGAATTCACTGGTAAGCAATATATGTGTCCAGGTGTGCAGTAACAGTTTAATGTTTTTTCTGATGAGTTTTCTTAGATTTTCCAAGATTGTCCAAATTTCAACATTTTAAATTTTTCAACATTTTCATTATAACATGCATGAAGATCACCTGACTCAGGTTTTTATGTACCATATTTTCTATTCAGTGTGCAGTAACAGTTTGCTCACCTGCCCATCGGGCATTTGATCGGTCAAATTTCAACATTTTTCTCATAACATGCATTAATGAAGATCCTCTGACTGACACATCAATTTTAGAGTTTTATTTTTTATGTACTATATTTTCTAACTTTTAACATTTGAAAAGTTTTAAATAAGTCATACATACAGCATTGGAAATGTATAAATTTTACAGAAACAATATGAACAATGAAATAACAGAAAATTATTAACCCGGGCAAAACAGAACACTGGAAACTAGGAGGTCTGGACGTGTTGAAACACTTTAGACACTATTCCTGTTTCTTTAAGAAAAACGTTAGGACATATTACAATCAAATTATGTTACGTACTGATCACCAGCTAGAGGTGGTGCATTTTTCAAAATCAGCTATTAGCCAATTATTTGGAGCATTAAAATCATGCACCTAGATGAACTTCAGGAAGTCATTTCAAATTAATCCCTTGGATGCAACAGGGCACTTGACTTTCTTGTACATGGACTGGTGTATGTATGAATTGGAATCAGAATACTTTATTAATCCTTAAGAAAATAATATAAGTGTATATATGTGCTTTTCTACTCACTTTTACTACAAACCTTGGGGGATTGGGGGGTTATTCAGGACTCAGGATCTATGACACACGGGGAGCCAGGGATCAAACCACCAACCTTACCATTAGCAAATGGCCTGCTCTGGCAACTAAGCCACAGGGGCCCTGTTGTTGAAAGTTGACTTTCAAATATTACGTTAACTTTGTGCGAATAAGCTTTGACTGTTGTCCTAAGAGTTGCAAGACTGGAATACTTGGAATCTCTGTGCCTGTGACATTTGGACTCTGCTGATTTTTTTCTGCTGTGTACAGCTGTGGTCCACTCCACCGCTGTATAAACACATACAGCACCCCTTCCCACAGTTCTGACTATAAATGCTGTTTGTTATAATTGTTCACCAAAGGATGGATTATGAGTTCTGCTTGTTTGTTGTGTCTTTGCTGATTGTCCATCACTTATTGTATCAACAAACTGTTTACTTACTTACTCTTTGTAGCTCTGTTTTACAGATCCTTTTTGTTACTATTTCAATCTGCTCAATCATTTGTTTCATTTTGTACTTTTTCTACTCAGACTTCTTAAATTGTGGTCTTCAGGAGTCGCTGTATGCCATTTAAAAGATGTGTGTAATATAATTTATGACATCAAATGGACAGAAATTAAAGAGACTATCATTTGGGAACTTTTTTTTTTTTTTGCATTTTTTGTCATGATGTTACCACAAATATATTTGATAAGTAGATATCTTTAAAATCTATAACTAGATTAAAAAAAATATAAAATATAAATAGAACGTAAAATAAATAATAATAATAATAATAATAATAATAATAATAATAATAATAATGAAATGACATCAAGACTGTAATTTCTTATTTGTCCACTAGATGCCACTAGTGAATTTGATGCACACATTCTTCATTGTTGTTTTGTGCTATGTAGAAGAGAGTTCTGGATAATGGATGGAAAGTTAAAGTAAATATTTCATGTCCTCTTTGGAATACTCTCATGATGGTCAGTTTCAGTCAATCAATCAGTTTATTTATAAGCACATTTAACAACAACACAGGTCTCCCAAAGTGCTGTAAAAGTAAAACTAACACACAGAGAAAAAACAAAACAAGGCTCATTAACAATTAAAAGCTAGGGAATAAAGATGTGTTTCTGGACGAGGTTTACAAATGCTGAGTTTCGGAAAGGTAATAATTTGAAGAAGCAGACTATTCCAGTTTAGGTGCAGCAACTGCAAAGTCCCGGTTTCCTCTGGGTTTTACTCTGCTGCTAGGAACAATCAGAAGCAACTTTTCAGCTGACCTAAGAATTCTATTTGGAGTATTTTTAGTTTAAAAATCAAAGTGGTAGGAGGGTCCATTTAGAGACTTAAAAACAAGCAATGAACTCTTAAAATCAATTCTATAACATACTGGAAGCCAATGTGAATGAGAAACATTGGGGAAATATGGTTGTGTTTAAGAGTGCCTGTAAACTATCGGGCTGCAGCATTCTGAACAAGATGGGAGAGCAGAGTCTGGCTGATACCAAAATAAAGACTATTACAGTAGTCAACTTGGATAAAATAAATGCATAAATCACTTTCTTGAAGTCAACAGATGACCAAACGTTCTTAATTTTTGCAAGGGGCCTGAGCCAAATAAATAACAGGATTTATTTGTTTCTCTCAAATAAAAAAATTGCCATCAAAGAACACTCCCAGATTTTTTGCAACTGGACTTCTGGACAGAGGGTCCCACTCCAGCCAAAGTGCACAGAGAAACAGGCTCAAAGTGTTAAAAAACAGCTGAGAAATCTGCTGGAACAGAAAGATTATAAGCTTCGGCCCCTGGTCAGCTCATCACTGGATCCACTTCAGTTTGCCTACCAACCTGGCATTGAAGAGGATTATGCTTCCTGCAGAAGTTCTCTGATGACTCTGCAATAGTCTGCCTCATCACTGACATCGACGACAGGGAGTACATAGAACTGACCCAAGGCCAAGCTGGTAGTAGAAAAGTAGTAGTAACAGAAAAATCATGACACAATATGGTGGAGCAATAGAGAAAGCAAGCATACACAGCAACGGAGTTCAACTCAGCAAAAACAGTCCACAATTCACCTCTTTCCTTATGATGAATAATGATAATGGGCTAACAGTTAACAGTAACACATGCTGCCACGTTTATAGCATTCTGTGGATGGCAGTTACCTTAAACAGGGGAAGCAGTGAGGAGAAATGAATGAAAAATACTGACACACAGCTCTCGCTCTCATTCGTCTGTATTGAGTGAAGGAGGAGACGCGCGAAGCATTACCTTGAGGCACTACCAATGGATCGACGCCCAGGCAAAACTCTCACCACTCATCACTCTTTACATTTCCACTGCATAGTCCATACAGCAACACAGTCAAAACAACAAACAAAACAATAATAAAAGCATGCCACGAAATATAAGGTCATTATTTCACTGAGCATAGTATTTGCTTACAATTTGCACATAACCAAAAGCAGAAGTAAAATTAGATACTCAGTCTAGTGTGCCTCCATTCACAATTTTATTAAAATTAAATGTTGGAAGCTGAAATTTTATCCAGGTAATCCAAGAATCCTGTATCATTTCACCAAGTACAAGATGATTATCTCAATCAAAGCAAACCTGAAACTTGAAGCAGAGCAGAAATTCGGGTCTATGAGTCAATCTGCTGGCTCAACAAATTTTGTGATTTGTTTGACAGTTAGAGTGGCAATCACTCAGCAGTGATCGTTACATACACCTGCTTTAGATCTTATCGGACTCATTTCTATGGGGCTAATAACCTAAATTGAATAAACTGATAACACCAGTAACTGTATATAAAAAAATAATGTACCCAGAAAGACAGTTTTAGGTGTGGTTTGGATTAAAAATTAGTAGACTGGATTGGATAAATGCCTTCATTTGTTGGTTGCAGTCTCCTGCTATGATGTCTGAGTAGCTGCAGCTGAAGCAGTGATATCCTGTACTTTCTAGAGCAGATCAAGTTCTAACTGTGCCTCACACCCAGTTTAACATAATGGATGAAGTTATTAAGCAACACAGATAAGGACGATATGTTTATACGTTCTTGCTTGGTGGACAGTTAGTAGTGCAGTGTGTTCTTCCCCTTTTTTCCTGTTTACTCATAAAGTAAATGACACCTTTTATAACTGGAATATACAAATCCCTCTCATCAGTGGATCATTCATTCAGGGGAAATAGTCCCAGTCTTGTATTTGGATATTCAAATCCTAACCTTGACAAAAAAGAGCTCTCTTTACTGTATATCAATATCTACTTGAGAGCTGTCTTCGTGAACACACCGAATAGAGAAGAAATTATAACATGTAAGTTTAAAACCTGTAATATATTTTATGTATGTGGTGCAGAGGTGATGTGTAGAGAATATCTGAAATATCTTGTCAGGTGTGATACTAAAAAAAACAAAACTAAAAAATATGTTACCTCAACTCTTACTGAAAAGATGAACTAGCATTAAATAAAAAAGAGCTTTCAAGATTAGTAATATCATTAATTTTATCAGTTTGTTCATGAGCTGCTGAATTATTTAAAAAACAGTTTCTGTTCTGGTTCATAATAGTTCACACTATTTTTCTTTAAGTATGTTGGTCTTTTTCACATGTACTTCATATTTCCTACTATCTTGTATTGATCCATCTTTTCTTTCATCTGACATAAAGTGAAAAAAAAGAATTTCTGTTTAAATCTTTGTTTCCTTGAGTAATAAAACATCACTTTCATCTGTCAGATCAAAGATGCAGTGGAGTCTATATCTGCTTATTCTGATGGGTAAGTGGATTGTTTACCAAATATACTCTTTTTAATTTAAATAAAATGAATATAGAATATTTATGAATATAAATGAACTACTTGACATGTTTTTTTCCCCATTTTATTCTGTTAAGAAAAAAATATCAATAATCCTATATAATACCTCTGTAGGCACTTTGTTATATACCATATCTGTAAGTGTGTCTTTGTATTTGTATTTATTTGACTGTTATTCTCAGCTCTGTACAAGATTGCCCATGTACCTGGACCTATTGTATGAATGCAACTGGCAAATAAAAGACTTTAGCTTAGATTCACTCAGTCTTCTCACATCTGCCCATTCACTACAGTCAGAGTCTCATTTAAGTAACGATGTTAACCTGTAATATTTAATTTCTTCAGTCAGACTATGTTTATCATATTTCTGTATTTCAGGTCAGTGTTGCTTCTTTACATGCCGCCTGTATGAGTACCACTTTATTGCAGAAAACAAGAGCTGGTCTGAAGCACAGAGATACTGCAGAGAGAAATATACAGACCTGGCCAAAGTGTTTGACATGACAGACATGAGCAGACTCCGTAACTCTGCACAGAATCAAGGAGAGGCCTGGATTGGACTGAACAACAACACAGGTGGAAACAGGACGTGGCATTGGTCTCTGCCAGGAGTGGAATACATTCATAATGACAGCAGCTGGAATCTGAATGGAAGATACGGTACTGAACCT